CCCAGGAGGGAGGTGCCCACTCTCTCCCAGGATGTGGCTGGCCCCTCCTGCATCCTCCACACCCAGCTGAAGAAGAGCACTGGATCCTTCAGTGAGATGGACTTCCCCAGGGGAGGATGCCAGCCAGCCTCCTCCGCCCCGAGAGCAAGCCAAGTTTGTGAGTGAGCATGTGTGTGAACGGAGGGCAGGAGGGACAATCCAGCCTTAATTTCTACCTCTTCAGCCCCAGGCCACTGAAAGACTCTCCCAAGGATGCCTGCAACCAGCCTCCACCGACAAACACTCACCAGCCTCAGAGTCAACAGCTTGGAAACTGCAAACTTTCCAACTTCACTCCTTCTTCCCTTTGGGACCAGAGCTACATGGGGCGGTGCCCTCAGGGACACTCATACAGTTGGTTCTCCAAGCTCCGCACACACAGACAACAGTGGTACAGGGAACTCCCAGCTTTTTCCACAGCTAATTATAGACGTGAAAGTCTGAGGATGTTTTGTAAGTGGCAGAGAGAAACTGCTGAGGTTTTTCTACAAAGCCAAAGAAATCGAATTTGTGCACTCCCCTTCCTCCCCCCCACAACTTCTCCTAGCTCCTACTTCCACGCACCCCCCAGTGAGCCCTTCTCCCAGTTCCCACTGCAGCCACTCCTCGTTGAAGATTTCCTACTCCGCTTCCCCCCACCCCCATCTCTCTCTTTGGGGCTTTCGAGAAAGGGAACAGACACGGAAAATATTTTTGCAACAGTTTTCCACTTGGAGTCTCATTCCCAAGCCAAGGGGGTGGGGGAGGGCAGGGACGGACGAGGGTGGGGCGGGGGAGGGAAGAAATGCTTTTCTCAAAAGCTCAATTTGGGTGTGAAAAAGACAGCCCAAAGCCCCTACCCCCATGGCCCAGGAATGACAAAAACTAGGGAAAGGAAAAGAAGTCACTTGTCTGATTATATGGTTTCTCAGATCTGAGTCTAGGCAAGAAATACAGTATTTGACAAATCTGTGCACACGCACACACACACCCCCAAACCCAGTCGCAAGAAATATGCCAGGAAGAGGAAATTCAGGGACTTTTAGAAGCCATTGAGAAGAAAGTTTGCAAATCCCGAGTCAATTCATTCTCTCCGAGCCTACCTCTCTTTCTAGCAAAGATCCAGCCTTCTCCAAGCAGGACTCTCCGTCCAGGTTTCCATGGACAGGGGAGGGTGGGGGTGACCACCCACGGGTCTCCCCAGTGTGGCAGCCACTTTAGAGATGCTGGCTTTGCTCTCTCGCCTTTACAGCCACCGCCGGGGAGTGGGCCGGGTCTCCTCCCCCCGGCCCTCCCAATGAGAAGGACCTTTCAGGTTCCTGGAAGAAAATAATGCAGGGCTGCCGGGCGGGTGTCCTGGTCTTGCTTTCTTCGTAAGGATGCTTCTCCAGGAAGTTCGTGCCTCCCCTCTCAACCCCCAGCTCTGAATGGTCTCAACAGCAGAGCTTTCTTAAGAAAATGCTTGTCATGGCAACAGCTCCAGCCAAGTCCGCCAGACTCTAGCTCAACAGCTCTCCCCAGCAGTGCGGGAGGAGAAAGGGGAGGAGCGAAAGCTGGAAGGGAGGTGGGACTTGGCGAGAGGCCAGACGAGCACTCCTCTGTTAAGGTGGCCCGATTGCGCTCTGCTGCGGCTTCCTGGCTCTTAAGGGGGAATGGGGAAAGGGAGGAGGAGGAATCCTTTCTTCTCTCCGGTTTCTTCCACACCCTTGCTCTCACTTGTTGAAAGGAAAGTAGGGTAGGGGTGGAGGTGGGGAGTGGATGTGGGTGGCGGTATTCAACCGTTGCTGGGTGGAGGGAAAAAAGGAAGCTTCTGCAGGCAGTTGGCTTCCTGCAGGTCTTATGGGCCTCTCAACCTCTTGCTCACTTACACCCAGGACCCAGAAACCCAAGTTGTCTGTGGAAACTTGTACCATCCACTCTCACCCTCAGGCCTGTCTGTCTGAATAGGGGGCTCACTGGAGAAGGAGAAGGAACCACTTGGGGTACACATACACATACCCAGCTTTGCCTATACACACACCTTAGTACACAGACCTCATCAAGACTTCACACACACAGTCCAGGGTCACCTTTTGCTCCCTCTTGCCTCTGTACCCCACAGAGGCCCATCCACAGTGCATAAGAGCTGCCTGCTTTTGAGTCCTACTGTGTGTGGGCTGTCACTAAAGCTTTGTATATAGTTTCCTTTCTAACGTTCATGGCAATCTTGAAAGTTACTTCTTATTATCTTCATTTCAGAGTTGAGGAAATTTAGGATCAGTGACTTGCCCAAGGTTAATAACAGAGCTAGGATGCAAGGCCAAATCAGCTGGACGCCAGGGCTCCTGCACTTGTATCATACTCTGGCACACATTTCCACTTTAATTTGCTCACACTCAGACACCATGCACACTTATACACAGCCTATAAATTGTTAATCACACCCCTGCAGCCACATACCTAGCACATTGTGCAACAGTGCCACCCATAGATTTTGTCTAGAACCTTGTGGCTTTCAAGTACAAACATGTACCATAACTGGTTCACACACCATGTCTTCATTGACTGAGCTATTCCCACACCCACCCACCTCAGCACACAGAAGCATATACATGTGCTTATGGAGGCAGGTTAGAGTTGTAAACTATGCTATAAAGGTGACCCACCACAACTTCACAGGTTTGGGAAGAGGCCTCTTTGATCCTCCCATCCTAACTGGACACTTCACACAAGGGTTGTCCTTTGCCCCAAGATGAAGAACCACATGCACGCTGAGAAACAGAATTATGAATTAGATCCTGGGCTCTGGATCTCCCCTGCGCTTAAGCACCTTTCCCAATTTCCTAACATCTGGGTCCTTTCTTTCCTCTCTTTATTTTCCTATCCTACTATTTCTCAACAACTCATCCACATTCTATTTCTGAGCTAGGGAAAAGTAAACAGACAAAAGTGAAGTAACTTTTTTAGAGTGGTTGGGCTGGACTCAGAACTCGGAGTTCTCCGATGTGATGCTAGAGATTGCCTGCTGCCATCTATCTTGGGAACGAAATCCAAAATAAGCCCCTGCCTGTCCTTGTGTCTCTTCTCTCCAGCCCAGTCCAGCTGATGGAAGGTAGCAGGGCTGGGGAGGGGAGTTTAAGGCCACCCTCTGTGGAAACCATTCGTGGATTGTTTTCCAGGCAGTTCCCGGTAGTTCTTTCTTCCTAGGGATTGAGGGTCTCACCCTCCTTACAGTAGGTGAACACCAAAGGTGAGATTTTTTTTTTCTCATTCACTCTCTGCCCGTCTCCAAACTTCTCTGGTTTCTCCTACCCCGCTTTCCAGGGCATTTCAGTGGAAGAACTGATGGCAGGGGTAGAGCTGGTACCTCGTTAGAATTTGGAAGATCCTACCAAAATGTCAGCTTCAGGAGCCCAGATCATTGTTGGAGAAAATAGAGATGAGTGGAAAGGAATCAACTGGACAGGGCTTCAGATTTAATGGCTTGTCAGGCTCCCTGCTGGATTGTAACAATTTGACATTTTAAGCCCAATGAGTGTCAGTTGCATCTTTATCATGAAAAAGCCAGTCTTTGACATGGTGCTTTAAATGTATTAAAGTATATTTTCAGCTTGTCTGTAGTGGCTGTGTGGGGAGGCATTGCCCACACAGTTTGGTAAACTTGTCTTCGGGGAGTAACAATTTAGGCCAGATGTGTGGTCCCATTAAAGGAGAAGTCTGCTTTGGCTGGCTGGCATGTGGACCTGGAAATGATGCCTGGTTAGTATTTAAAGGCAAGATCCACTCCGCAAACTCCTTGGGTTCCGGGGAGGTGGGTTCTGCAGGGGAGATACTGCCAAAAGAGGCTCTGATGTCTGCCCCACCTCTGGCTGGCTGGGATTCAGGGCAGGCCAGGAGTATGACTTCTGTGGGAACCTGAAGGTAGGTCTTCTCTTCTCTCAAAGCACAGTGCTCCCCCATCCCTTGTTGGGGTTGTGGGATGAGAAGAGATGCATCCCCTACCCCATTTCAACTCCCAGCCTCCATAAAGACAGGAGAGAAGGATGAGATAGGTACATCAAGGTGACTCCAGGGGCGGCCACAGCCTGATCTCTATAGTTGAGTTCACCATTGAAGCCTGTGTTTTCAGGAAACCCAGAAGCCTCAGTGCCTTGCTTCTTCTAGCAGCAGGCTTGAGGTCTAAATGGATAAAAATAAATCTCCCCATAAAAATAACTGCTGAATGTGGGAAAGTAGAGTTGTGCCCTTTCTCCCTACCATGGCAAGAGGTAGGGCACTTCGTCCACCGCCAAAATTTCTGGTTGGGCTGTTGCCCGGGGCTGGCTGCCCCAGGGGCTTCATAGCCCCTTTTCCCTTCTTAACCCACCTGCCTTCTTGACTTCACAGCTTCCCTGCTTCTTTAGCTCTAGACTAGCTCCTCCTAGCTGGGTGTCATGGCCTCCTCAGAGCAGGTCAGTCTTGGCATGGCTTTCATCACTGTGGACCCTGTCTCCACCCCATCTCTTGCCTGAAGAAAATGCAGTCAGCCTTGTCTCTCCCTTCAGTGTTGGACAGAATATGTTCCTTTGGCCTCTTGAGCGCTCCACCTTGAGTTTCCCAAAGCACCCTTGCCGTTTCTCCCCACTTCCTTTGAATGCAAACTGCATCTCTGCCCAGTCTGTCTAGAACAGCAACCGCCTACCCACACCTGGAACCAGTGCTTTAAGATGGCCTTTCTCCTCACTGTTAAGAAGGGAACTGTCATTTTATTAGCGGTTCCACCCCAGTTACATCCTTTCCAGGGATTTTTAAACTTAAGACCAAAGAGTGTCCCTCCAGCAGTGGACACTGAAGAATGGGGCTCAGGAAATATCAGGGGCCATATTCCCTGCCTCATGGAAGAAGCCTGCCAGTAGGAAAGAGTACAGCTTGCATTCAGAGAGAGGCAGAGAGGAAAACTGAAGAGAGTCCTGGCAGCATTCAAGTTAACTGTACGCCATATCCTACGGTACTCTTGCTGTTCCTACAATGAGTTAGTTACATGACTCATTATGTATGCATGCATACGCTAGATTGTTGGTTTTTTTTTTTTTTTTTGTCATATGTCCTAAGGAGGATAGAAATATAGAAAGCAATATAGAAGCTCTTTGAGCCGTTACCTACCATTTGGGTTCACTCATGTCAGTGAACTTTATTCATTGCTGAATACCCACTATTCAATTCAGTACACATTTCTTGAATGTCTACTGTTTCAGCATCCACTGGGCCCAAGTAAGGTAGACAAAGATAATAAAACTTATAGTTTAGTGAAAGAAAAAGATACACTCATAGCATAAATAACCACAATAGAAGGTGTTATAGTTATTCCTTTAAACATATTTATTGAGTGCTTACTATGTACTACTTGGTAGTACATGTTAAAAGATGAAATATGAAAATACATCCGTGGAAATTCCAGGAATGACTCCTTCTGACAGGAATGTTAGAAGGCTTTAAAAAGGGGATGATATTTGGAGATACATGGAAAATCTCGAAGAGTAAACTTTAAACTGTTTTGGATGGGGGTGGAACAGTGAGAATAATGACATGATCGAAGGTGCGGAGGGAGAAAAACAGAGTAAAGCCTGGACAGATAGATTGGGACTGAACTCTTGAGGGTCCGGAGTGGCTTCATCAGGTCTGTGGTTAGTGAGCTGGCTGTGGCAGCTGTGTGTAGGGTGACAGATAGGGAACCTAGGTGGCAGGCAGGGAAAATCTGGGCCCAGGGCAATGCGGGGAAATTTTATAGTTATACATGTGTGGATGAAAAATGCGCTATGTAATGATCTTAACTGAAAGTAACCTTAGAGGGTGATCTGATCATAAATTCCTAACTGGGCAGGTCATGGTGGGTAATCACGCCTCAGGCCTGTAACTTCCCTAGTAAAAGATTATCTTTGCCTTATGCAAGCCCTGTTCATTGTTTTTGTGCATCTAGGTTAATAAACCCTTGAAAAGCTGTCTTTTTAGATCCCTTGGAGAGGTAACCACCCTCAGGAGAGAACATAGTCTTGTTCACTACCCTCTAATCCAATCACAGAGATTTCCTTGCCGTGCTTTCTGCCACCTTCATATAATCTTCCTGATGTTCCCGCCTTAATTTCTTTTGTATTAAAGAAACTGCAAACTGTCCCATTGGGAAGCATTCTTTTGTTTGTTTGTTTGTTTTTGTTTGTTTGGTTGGTTTTGGCTGTTGAGATCTTGCTTCTAGGCATGTCCTCTGTTTGGCTCAAATAAACCCTAATACATAAAATTTTCCTACAAGTTTAGACATTCTTACCTTAACATATGACACAGTCCCTGTCTTTTAGAAGCCTCTATATAGTTGTGGAGACACATAAAAAAAAAGAGACAACAAAACAAAGTGTGCGACTAAGTCTAAAGCTGGATGAAAAATCCAATGACTGTAGTGAAAGGGAAGCTGGAGATGGGCTGGAGCTTTTGAAGAAGGCTTTTTATAGTCGATGGAACTCCAGCTGGACTTTGACATTTTTCCAAGTGTCTCATTTGTCATTCCTCTACAGAGCAGGCCTGGTGA